TCAAAACGGATATTTAAAGTAGCTCATTCCTGTTTAATTTGTCTTGTTAGCCGTGAAAAAAGATACGAAAAGTCCTTGGTTTATATGCCGAGATTTTTAATATAAAAGCATCAATAACGAATTTTTTGGTTAGGGCAATATCGATTCTCTCTCTCCGAATTCCAGATTCCAGATTTAAGCATATACATACTTGTAGTTAAGTATACAGTTAATGGGAAACCAGAAGCTGTGCGATAATTCATCCTGCGTCAATTGCGCGTGAATTGAAATCGTAAAATACTATGATTGAAATAGAGTAGATAGATCACTGTTATACGTGCTCGATTAGACTTTATAAGATGTATCATATCGAACGATAATATTGTATATAATCGCGATCTTACACGCGGAACAAGATATAAAAGTTCCATTCCTATTAAATGGGTATAATTATCTTAATGGGATTTTTAATGATAGCGGAGACTCTTTAAAAGTGCGTCACTCCTCGCAAAGCTTTCTTGCGGGCAATTTGTAGGATTGCGTTGTTTATTTACGCGATTATCGTTTCGAATGTTATACTTATCGACGTTAAAAATGGCAAGAAACTTGGGAAATAAAGACTGACGCAAGTCAAAAACAAGCAAGTGTCGTGTATGTACAAAGATATACTTTTACGACGTTTGCCGTCGGCAGTAATAATACAAGCTGCGAATATTTCCCTGAACAGTCGTTGAGCAGTCGTCGAAAATCTTTCCTAATAATCGCGGTAATTTATGTTAAAATTATTCATATACCTCGGCAAAGGGGAGACCAAAAAAAACTCATTGACTCTCCGACGAGTATATTTTTGGATTTAACGAGCGATGGATATCGTGTCCGCACGCGACTCCGCGTATAGGAAAAAAAGAATGCAAGAATGTGGCGGAGAAGTGAACGGTAAACGTCTTGGAATTTGGAACATCTCGTATTCCGACCAGGAAATGAAGCTGCGTGTTCGACGACGAACACACTCCGACTTGCCCACGCATTCTCGCCGCCGTGTTAAGGAACAAGATTCTTCTTTCTTACCAGGGCATTACGAATTCGTAGGTGGTGATATAACACGATATTGGGGAATCCCATACGGTACGCGTCATCGATATTTTTACTTCCCTCGAAGTAATTTCCACGGAAGTGGCGGAAACAAGACGCGACAGAGGCGGCGGCGGTAATAAATAACGAAATATTAAATTTGGGAAGGTA